AAAAAACTAAGTTGAAAAATTAATAAACTAAAAATGAATATGTAGAATGAGAGTCATTTTCACGAGAATGACAGGAGTAAACCTTGTTGAACATATCGAGAAGTGGCTGCGATTGTAAATTGTAAATCAAGAAGTGGATGAGATTAATAAACTCTAAATGAATTTATGTGAATGGTTGGGATTGTGAATTTTAAAAGTGCAAGATTTTTCTTTTTAAGGCTGAACTTTCATGTTTTAACTTTAATTATTCATGATTTAGTAGCCAATATTTATATTAACTCCTTTCATTTTTATATATATATAAAAAAATCGTCTCATTTAAAGCAATTCAGTGCGTGAAATCTTATCAAATTTTTAATATAATATCTAGTTTATTTAGAATCTTAATGTATTTTAAGTCAAGTTTAATTTCTTTTTGGATTTGAACACCTGTATTGTAAAATTGTTAAATAATTGAGGATTATATTTAGAATACGAAATATAATTTGATTTTCTTTTCGGGTTTGTTTATGAAACTAAATTAATGTTATTATGTTCCTGTCATTAACAAAAAACATTGTTTCTTGTCGGATAAGAAGGATTTGAAAAATGACAATTTTTGTTCTCTTTATCTGAAAAAAATGTTTTATGTTTTTTATATTCTAGTAATGTTGGACAAGATTTTGAAACACCCGTTTATAACATAAAGGAATTAAGTCAAATGATCTAAAGTTAACATTTTTTTTAATAAAAGATAGAAGTGGTATTGCATCATATATGGAAAGTAATTCTAACTAGATTAGCACGACAATTTATATCAATTATTTGCAATATTTTTAAAGTAATATTAAGGAAAAATAAAAGAATACAAAAAAAAGTGGGGGCTAACTGCACCAAACCTATTTAAGAGAATTTATAATGTAGCAAGTTATACCTATCACGACTGAAATCATGTATTATACAAATAGCTACATATTTCCATCAGTTGTATCTAATATTTCTATTACAAAAATTTGTTATATTAGCAACACATGGATTTCTTTCTTTGTATATGTGAGAGAATCGAAATCCAATCTTTCTGATAAACTCTAAAATATTATGCTATTTATTTTTCAAAGTCTAGGATATCAAATAGTGATCATAAAAACATTTGACTTTCGAAAGTGAGTCTGTCTCAAATAAAAAAAAATTTCATTCTTTGATAGTTACTATCTTTAGAGTATGTATAATGAACAATATTTTTACTTCAAAAACATAATTAACATTCAAAGATTTAGCAAAACATCTAACTAAATCTACATTATAATCTCTAAATATAAAAGTACAAGAAGAAACTCCACCATGATCTACATATGCTCAATCAATATTTTCTTTAATTCAAACCTTAGGAGGGGGAGTCTAGTCAACCACTAAGACTTTCTCTAGTTTCCTGGGCCTACAAGAAACGGAGAATGCTTTAAAAATTTTGAATTCAAATATTATAGATTACATATTACTTGTTGCAATAGAACCACAACTATTTACAACAAAGAAAATTCTATTTTTAATATATTGATAAGGAAAAAAAATATTTTCAAACTTGATTTGATTTCTACTATTCCAGATTTTTGTGATGACATAGGTAATAACAACAAGCAATACAATGCTAGCAAGATCACTCCAAGTTTTATTTGATAATAGAGATATAATATCTACAACTATGAAAGATTGATAAGTTATTGGAGTTATCTAGTTTTATAATTATCCACAATCATTTATTAGATTATTTTTCTTTATTTTTTTTTTTAATTTTAAAAAACTAAGGTAGAAATTGCCTCATTTCCCTACTAGTTAGTATTCATAATTTTTTTTTTATTATAGATAATTCACTACGGTAAGCCTAACGTGTGGTAGTTTGTATTTTGAATTGAATTATAGACGGAACTTATATTTTGAACCAAACCATTCGAATGAGATCGTAAGAAACTGGTTACGAAGGATTAGTAGATATTTTTTCCCTGTAAACCAATTTAAACATTCAGAAAATCTTAACACAAGTACCTAATACTGAACATATCTCATAACCAAGTTCACATTTTCGGTAAAAGCTAATCGATGCCGGAACAGACACGTTCAGATATATAAATTGTTTGTGCGTTAAGAACATCCTGTACATAGTTTGAGCTGTTAATAAACTGAGTGACTCAAGGAATATTTTTCGACAATGTATTCCTGGGGATATATATTAAACAAATCGAGAATCCATATTAAAAAAGTTCACAAAAGAACATAACAAGCACTATAACAAACTGTCAAAAAAAAAAAAACTAGCGAAAAAAAAAAACACTATAACAAGTATACTTATAAAGAGTTATATAATTGACAAATAACTTTATTCCCTAATATTTGTTAACTAATGTCTCGTTCTATCTTGGTGTCAAATTCAATTCTTATAAATAAAAAATTATTTATTTTTCATTAACAAATAAGTCATAGAATGAAATATTAGTGTAATAACTATTTATTGAAAAATTAATCCAAAACTTTTAATGAACGAAAAATATTAAATGGAGAGTCATCAACAAAGAATTGTGAACAAAAAGTCATAAATAGAAATTCATGAATAAAGGATTATGTCATTCCCTATAAATATGAAGGTTTAAGATGAGAATAATTATCATTGAGAAGAAGTCATTACTTAGAGGGGTCAAAGATTCCTTCTAATTTTTAGAGTCCTTCCTAGAAAGAGAGAAGTAGAATGAGAAAGTTTTTGTATTCCTTTTTAGGAAAAAAAAAAAAAGAGTTGTTTCCTTTACATTTGGTAGAAATTGAAAGATAACCAGGAAGGGGATTCTTTTAGTGATCTTTTTGAAAAAGTGAAGATATTTGCAATCCTACTTTTATAATAGAGAGTTTATACTGGATTAAGTTTTGTGATTTTCTTTTTATTTACATTGAGATGATTTTTCACGTAAATTATTCTTTTACTTCTTATTTTTATATATTTTTTTCTTCTGCATAGTATTATTTTGCGTTTACATGTGAGAACTAGATCTATTACTTCCCAATACTAGTATTAAAGAAATATTAATCGAGAATCCGTATTAAAGAAATTGACGAATGAATAAGGCTTATAAATAATAGGCGCCAGTACACTTACACAGCGAACTTGGTGTTGCAAAAACAATAATTAACCTTATTAATTAATTATATAAGCTTCTCCATATCATCAACATGGTGCATGAACTGGTAATAATAATTTTCATATTGTCTCTTTCCTATTGCAGAAGGAGTAATGGGATGTACAAGTACATCTATGAATAAGGGACATATATGTGTGTTTGAATATGTAAATGTAATAAATCATATCATGCATATATAATCTAAATAAAGCCCCTTCGAAATTGAGAATTCCAAGCTATTACCATGGTGTGACTTAATAATACTATTAACTTGCAGTTAATCAATTGATAAGCCAATGTTTTTACTAGTTTTAAATTACTCCTTCACTCCCTTTACTCTCATAATAATAAGTATCATGATATATATATATAGATCAATAAAAATAAATAAATTTAAAATATTAATCTTGTATTAATTTTTTTATTAAAAATAATGCAATATATAATAACTATTTTTTTTACATAATATTATTAAGAACATAATGAAAAAATATTAATGTTATATTAAAAAATTAACATAACACTTATTTTAATCATGGAGAATTTAGTTGTTAAAAAAATTAACTCATCGTTTTAACAACCACCCAAACTGGCCCATCTTGAGAGTTTTTGTAATTTGCATTGCTTAATTAATGATTAATAGCATTGCTTCATTGAATAGTCATAACTAGCCCACGATTATGTGTGGCTAGTATGATCGTGAGCTAAACAACTAGTTTTATTTTATAGTATATAGTACTGTATATTAGAAAGAAACATGACTTTCTGTGGTTGCCAGCCGACAAATTGAAAAGTGGAAGAAGCCAAAATGATTACATTATTGGAATAATAAAACTACAATGTTGTCTTCCAAGTAGGCTTCCTGGCCCTTCTCATATAATTCTATCAACTTTTGGTGGGCCTATATAACGTGCACAAGTTCGGTCCAAAATGTTTGTTGAATGAAGAAAACGCATGCAATAAGATATTTTACCTGCTAACTATTCTACATCTATGTTTGTACAAATATTCCACGCTCAGTCTATGACATGATCTAATGGTTTTTTATTACAGGAAATTACACTCACACTTTTTATATATTTTTTAATATTACATTCAATACTTTTCTATTATTTGGGTGTATAGTAAAATTCTATAAAAGTTAAAAAGATGTTAAATTTGTATTTTGTGTATTTTTCGAGATTATAATCAATATTCTTTCATTAGATCTACAGTAACATAAAGATGTTTGATTCTCAATAAAAATGCATTATAAAGCGAAGAATATATACAGGCAGAAGAATTACGGTTCTTGTGAAAGGAATATTCTTAGAACTTAGATAAAGTTGGCCTAACGAGGATGTAGACTTGTACCACGGTTAGCTGTCGTTAGATCATGGGTGTAATAAACTTTCACTAAGATCAATGTTGAATAATTTGTGAGCGAGTTTAATTAGATTAGAAGCATCAAGCTTTTGTCAACATGTCTTAGTTTAATTAGGTGAAAGGGTTGATTGTAACATTTGTGTACTAAGGAAATTAAACAAAAACTATATTAAAATCCGATTCTGTTTAATTTAGATCTTAGGATTAAGATTTAAGATGCATCAAACCTTTGAATAATATCTTGTCTTATTTGCAAATAATACAAGAGTACGTAGCATTCCTTGGGCGTATAGCCCCTTTGTATCAAATTTCAATAATTAAAAAAGCATGCAGCGCTGTACGTGTCACTATCACATGGCAAAGTCATAAAAGTTCCTCTGACTAATATAAAATATTCCCACCACTCTTCCAAAGTGGTATAAGACAGAACAAAGGAAATCGCTAGAACATGTCTTGGATCATTTTAATATTATTTTTGTCACGTAGAAAGCAAAAGCAACAAGTAGGTTCTCTCCATCTACCAAGTGGTAGGTGGCATAGTATATAAAGAAGAGTGTGTGGAATAGGGAACTGTTTAGACAAGACACGAATGAAGAGGTAAAAGCAACAAGAGGGCATGGATGATCATACTAATGTGTTGGAGCTCAACCTTGGTTTAGGAAGCAACCTTGGTGGTCTTCATGTAGGGCAATCACCGAGGCAAAGGTGCCCTGCACCTTTTCTGTTGAAGACTTACGATTTGTTGGAAGAAGGAGAGGCTGAAAATAGCACCAAAATTGTGTCGTGGAATGCTGAAGGAACTGCTTTTGTTGTGTGGTCTCCAGCTGAGTTCTCTGAGCTTACCTTGCCTAGATATTTCAAGCACAACAACTTCTCTAGCTTCATTCGCCAGTTGAATACATATGTAAGTAGTTAGTAGCATGTTAATTTGGCTATAGTATTATTTTTGAAAAGTTTTGAATAAAATAAGTGGCTATTATATTTCTTTAAAGTTTAACTAAGATGCAGTATATAGCCTCTCTATTCCAATGAGGCATGAGGTTATTGTCATTTAGTTAATTAGAAAGTTCAGTACAAATTCAATGGATTTCCTTTCTGCCATTTAACTGAAGTTAGTTTATTTCAACTTTCTTGAACTAGTCAATTGGTCATTTAGTTACTATATATATAAGGGAAATGTTTAGAAACAAAATAGATGAGCCATGCATTGTTTTCTTTTAAATTTACCTACAATAGAATGTGGAAGAGTTAAAGGCAAAAGTCATTATATTGATCGATCAGAGGTCATAACTTACTGAACTTAGCCATTTATATTTTAGTTTTTATTGTCTGCCTTTTTGGTTGGATTGATTTTATACTTTCTTAGGAGCACTATAGTGGAGCTCTATTGAAAAAAAGTATCATAAGGAAAACATTAATGTGATAATAAATATTGATTGATCAAAGGGTCATATTTAGCTATGCTTTTGTACTTTTCTTCTGCTTTTGTGGTTTGTTTTTCTTTGTTTTTTTTTTTTTCCCTTTAAGTTGTTCATTTTCTTCTGGGATACCAGAGGAGCTGTATTGAAAAGGAAGTATCGTAGTTTTTTTCTATTTTATTACGAGGAAGTATCATAGTTAAGCAAAACAAATCAAATCACGTGCATAAATAAAGAATTTAGTCAAGTCAATATACACGTACGTACGTATATATATATATATATATATATATATATATATATAAAGGATGAGGGTCAAATCAGTTATTTTTAACTAAAAGTCAAAATAGTGGTACTGCAGATGCTGCACTGCTTCACTTGTAGCACACTTAAATTGAAAATGAAGAAAGCCTTGCTTATTGCGAACTACTACCTGCTATATATATTTGTAAGGTTAAAGAATTTTCAAAAATTTATCTTTGACTATTTCTTTTTTATAGCAGCCGTTTGGTATGTATAATACCATGATGACCGTGAGTAATATTTTTATGATTAATTCAATGTGATGGTATAATTGTTAGGATACAAATAAGTTTTCATATTGATAGAATAATAAGAGAAATAAAAATTTATAAAAAAAATTATGTATTAAAAAAAAAGTTGTTGATCCATCATGCATTTGCTGATTTGGTTTGGTTTCTAATTTTTGAAAATTGCAAAACAGGGATTCAAGAAAACATCATCAAAAATATGGGAATTCAAGCACGAGAAATTTAAGAGGGGTTGCAGGCAGATGCTAGGAGAAATAACAAGGAAAAAGTGCGAGCCAAGTGTGTTTCCTGCATACCTCAAGTCTTGTTCTGAGGAAAATGCAACGAGTTCGACGGAAGATAAGAATGAACAACAACTGATGGAGGAGAACAAGAACCTAAAGAAGGAGAGATTAGAGCTGCAAATGCAGATAGATGAATGCAAAGCACTTGAAATCAAGTTGTTGGCATGTCTCTCTCAGTTTATGGACACTCACCAAAATAAAGTTAGGAAACTATGTTAGGTCATAATTATTTCTCTTGTTTCAAATCACCTTTCATGTTTCACCCATCAACAAGAAGAATTCATTCCTCTTGTAAACCCTAGTTAGCAATCAAGGCACCCAGCACTAGTCCTAGGAGCCAATTTTTATAGGGGCATTAAAAAATATTTTTGAAAATAAAAGTTTATATAATTTAATTATTATAAGATAGTAAAAGAATTTCGAATAAGTAATATATTGATAGATGTGTTGAAAAAAATTAATTGATAGATGATCTTTTCACTTTTTAACAAAAAGTTATCCATAATTTTAAAAAGATAAATCAATAATGTAAAATGAAAAGAGAATTATTATTAATTAAACTTCCATGAGTGTCAACTATAGTCATAAATGATTAAGGGTTATGTATACTTTTCTATTTTTTTTTCTAATTTTTTTATTCTTTTCTTATTTTTTGAATTGTGACCTCATCTACTTCCTAGAATCTCTAAGTCAAATTGCAAATCTCCATTTCTTAGTTTTGAGCTTCTTTGAAACGTGTCACAATTATTGTTTTTTTATTTATTTATTGTGCAATAACCTCTAAGAATAACTCATATTTTTGTACACATGTACTGTATGTTTAGTCATTATTTTAGCAACAAAGTCATATTCTGTGATCACTTGTAATGAGTATAGCTCAACCTGTTTCTTATATTATGGTCGCCTCATACGCGTGTATATCGACTTTACCCACATGGTACGAACAAAGTTTTAGAGGAGAAATAACACAGTATCCATTTCAAGGGTTAGCTTTTCAAGAAAGATTTTTCAACAAATTTGGCTCTTGGAACACAACACAATATCCACATAATGAAATATGCAACTTTCAAAAATATCTCCTCTAGTCCTAAGTGATCATAATAGCTTAACAACACAACAACTTTATACATATTCAACACAATAACAAAATCAACATACGACTCTACATCTCACAACTCAATCATCACTACTCATATTCAACTTCTTACTCATCATACATCTCAACAACACATCAGCATTATTCAAATAGAATCCTAACACAATTACACAACTTCACAACATACTATATTCAACTCAACTTTCAACTAGAAACTCACAACATAATCACCAACAAACAACTTAACCAAATCACTTATTGTGCAATGACAACCTTCGCATAAAATAACGCATAGGAAGTTCTATTACATCTATCATGCTCATTCTTAACTTATATAAAAGGCAAGAATATTTTCTACAACTTTCATGAAGAATTCAGGTTCAAATTTGATCATCTACCATATTGAAAATTGTAAAAACCACAACTATTTGCCTAAATGCTAACAGTTTGACCTTTACTTACTAAAAAGGTCATAATTGGAGTCCTAGACCTCCTTTTTACATGATTCTAAAGTCATTAGAAAGCTAACATTCAAGACTACAATTTTCATGAATACCTCAAGACCAAATTTGATTATCTACCCCCTTTGTTGCAGCGCTCAATCATGGCTGCAACATTGGATCTCTATCGGTCCAATTTTTCCCACAGCTGCAATGTTCAACCACTACTGCAACAATAAGTCTTGGTCATCCCATTTTCTCTGACAACTGTAATGCTCAACCATGACTATAGCGTTGAGTGCATGCATTTTCTACATTTTCATGGCTTCTCCTTCATTCCTCACATACACTTCACCAATTTTTCTCCTAAACACTATCTACAACTCATTATGTCTACTAGATTCATTCATACAACCTATAAATCACAAGAAAAACAACATGGATGCACCAAAACTCAAATAAATCATCAACATTTTAACTTTTCATCAAGAACATCAAAATTTTAGTTTCAATATGCAACCAACTTAGAATCCATCCCCATAACTACAAATTTGTAGAAATTTTACCAATTTTAAGTTCTCAATTCATTCAACAGCCCAACATTTTAACAAAACCCAAGATTTTCAGCTTACCTTACCTCAGAACAAAGTGAAACCAAGGAAGAACTTTGAGGTAGAAAAAAAGAAGAGAACAAAAAAAGAAATGGGCTTCGAGCTCCAACAATCCGAGCTCTGTACCTACTCTACGGGATTCTCAGCTCCCAATTGCTTTGAATCATCACCAACTACAAAGTCTCAAGGAAGAAGAAAATAGAGTCTCCGAGCATGAATCTTCCCTTAAGAATAAATTGGAACGATGAATGGAGGGGAATGACAGTTGCTACCATATGTCCAGTTTGCATGTTGTAGGAAGAAACAATATTACATATCTTACAGCTATAACACCTATAATGATATGGTAAAAAAATAACTTCAATGACATAAATAGTTACAAAAGAACCTCATTTATATAAATAGTTTTCAAAACTACCATACAAACATTAAAAAAAAAAATTTTTTTTAGACCTTTGAGTCTAGGATTGCAAGTAATATATTTAAATAATTATGAGGATATTTTTTTTATTTGTTCATGAAAAAAATATTAAAAAAAAACTCATGACCAACCATACTAGTTAGCATTCACTTTCGCATGAAAATCAATATACATAATTTCTCCGACTTTAAACAAAGTTAGTTATATGAATACTTTATGACTTATTATTTAAATCAATATCGTCACTAGTACAAAAATTAATTTTTAGATCGGGGTTTTAAGATCGGTTCTTAATAAAGAGCCGATCTTAAAAGTAACGCGGTGACATTTTTGTAAATAAAGTTACAACTTTTAAGATCGGTCATATTTTAACCGATCTTAAAAGTGACGCGGTGACATTTTTGTAAATAAGGTTACAACTTTTAAGATCGGTCACAGTTTAGCTGATCTTAAAAGTACTTTTAAGATCAGCTAAAATGTGACCGATCTTAAAAGGTGTAATCTTATTTACAAAAATGTCACCGCGTCACTTTTAAGATCGGCTCTTTAATGACCGATCTTAAAAGTTCATTCTAAATTTGGGGGAGAACTCGTAAATGTGCATCATTGTCTTCCGCTTCACTCTTGTTCTTGTTTATTCTACTAAGCTTTCATGCTTCCGTGCTTCCTCATTGTCTTCCGTGCTTATGCTTCACTCTAAGCTCATTCTCTTGCACATTGCTGTATCGATGAAACCCTAAAAGGTTTCACTCTCTCTACCTCATTTTTTAGAGTATCTTCTTGTGAGTGCGGATTATGCTTTGCTGTGTTTAGCAATCTAGGTTGTGTTTTGATTGTAGAACTGTTTGGTTTTTACCTTAAGAAAGCTTATGAATTATTTTGTCAGCATCACAAAACTCATAGAGTCCGCAAATACTGTGGATTGTTGGGATATACTAGGTGACAAGGGATTCACCGCACCTTTACTGCATATTGTGCGATGCAGGCTCTGTATCTCATTTCTTGCTTTCGACGTTGTGATTGTATTCATCTATGTTGCTATTGACTGTCTTATTGGCATCGTTGTTTGTTGCTGTTTTTAAAATGCATTTTCCGAATGAGTAGTCAACCAGAAAAAAATACCTCTTTTGCTTTTAAAATGCATTTTCTGAATGCATTTTCCAGAGATACTATGTGGATTGTGGACTGTGTTTAATTTTTGGCTAAATACTGATTAATTTATCTTGTTGTTTGTACTTTCTTTTTGACATTCCAGTGATAAGCTATTCAATACAACCTAATCCCTCACCTTTTCTTTCTAAAATACGCTGTTAAGATTTGTTTACGCTCCCTCATCATGTGCTTTTAGCTAAACCAACCAATTAGCATTTGCATTACAAGTTTACAACACATTTTTGCATGTCTATTTTTTTAATTTTTTTACAGAGTATGACTTTTTTGAGTTAATCAACTCAATCACACAGATGTTCACACACATGGTTAAGCATAATAATAGTGTTTTTTTTGCTATAATAATCATCAGGTTTTTTATTTTGATTTTGCAATAATAGTGAAGGTCTTTGAAATGAACTATCATAGACATACAGTGATAGTGTCCTTTAACTCTGTAACACTCAAAGTCTTTTGCTTTGACTTTCTTCACTTTTTATTTTGTTAAGTACAATTGTGTCTTCCTATGTTTTTTTTTTCTTATGAAAGTTCTTCTTGTGTTGTTTATATTGCAGACGATTTGTGCTAAATGTGCCAAAGGAAGATCTTCAGTCATTTGAAAGGATCTTGTTTCTTGTGGAGTATGCGAATTGGTTTTATGAAGATAATTCTGTAGAAAATAATTCATCTCTGAAGTCATTAAATCTGAAAGAGTTCACATCTTTACGTATCCTTGCTATAAAAGTCTTGTTTTCAGTCTTTCTGTTTACAGTAAGTTGAATATAAGTTTTTCAATTTTATTTCCCAGTTTTTATTCAAAAAGGAAAATAACATGATAGGCTATTGTCTTTAAATTGGAACATGGAGACGAAATGAAAGAATGCGAGCAGAGGATATATTGTCCATAGATGAAACAATGCAATAATGTTCTGTTGTGAATCATGTCTATTCCTTACTCAGAATTTAAAAGCTTTAATTTGGTTAAAAAATTAGTTGTTCCTCATTAGGCAGAGTTGTCTAGGCTTTACCTAAAATGAAACTAGTCATCATGGCAGTTTATTTTTGTTGTCACATTCTTTCCATATCAATTTATATATTAGATGCCATTTTCCTTAACATATAGTAGTGTTCAATAGTTGTGATGTTTTGAAGCCTTACGTGGCTCATATAGATGATATTTTCAAGGACTTCACATCCTATAAGGTTCGAGTTCCTGTAACTGGAGCAATAATTCTTGATGAAACATATGAAAGGGTAAGCCTGAATTAACACCTTTATAGCAGTACTTATCTTTTGCTTTCTGTAGTTAGACAAATCTACTTACTTATCCTTTTCACTAGCGCTGGAGGTTTATCTTGTTTGTGGTGTGACTATGTATAGTTGATTTTTATATTTTTGAAACAAACAAAAGTGTTACTTTTAATTATAACACTATAATCTATTTATTTTTGGTAGTAATAATTAAACTATCTATTATTTGAACCATTAAAATCAACTTATTAATGAAAAATTGAAATAATATGTGTTCATTGTAATTCCGACAAACAGAAAAAACTATAAACTGTTTGCCGACATATAACATTTTATCTAATTAGGATTGTCTTGTAATATTAAAAATAATCCTAGTTCAACATTTTCATTATTAAACATGATTAGAATATTAACATGTATTAACTCATTGTTA